TATTATATAATTTGTCTCAAATTAAAATCTTATTTATGATGAAACATTGTGGTTCAAACGACTGAATTTGCGTCCTGACATTCTCAACATTTATTAACGTCTTCCAAAAGGTACCATCAATTCCCTTTTCTTTCTTTTTTCCATATCCGAACCGACTTCTTGTCTCTAGCGTTGTTATAAAGGCACAAACAACCTCTCAAATCAACCAAGTGAACCGGTTCGTAGTCCTCGGCACTATTTTTCAGCTTCTCATATCTTCAAATAGTCACCTCTTGGATTGACATATATTGTTAGTAGTAGTCCCAATCCAAAATATCTACCTTACAATCCTGACAAAGTCCATAATACGACCCATAAAACTAATTGGGGAGTGAAAGTCTTTTCTCTTCTCGAGTTGATGAATTCCACAATGCAATAGTACTCTGATACGAATTGTGGTGTGTGAGTAGCAAACCCTTATAAAAACATAAGACATGCTTTCGTCCATAGGGTCCTTCTAATACTCGTGCCGTACGGAGTTTTTTATCGTCCAATTTTATCGAAGAAAACCCTTCAAAATTAATCTTTAATCTCTTACTTATAAAAAAGGTCTGCGAATTCGATTCTTTAGATCATTGCTGATGAGTTGGGGGAATATAGGATCGGAGTGTTATGAATATAGAAATAATATTGAAATTGTTAATCAAATTATGGAATTTCGAATAGAAAATAGGGTAAATAGCATTAAACCACCTAAACTTTTTCAGTTTTTGCGAATCACCACCTAAACATTTTTTTTTTGCATGAGTTCACCTGTACTTAATAAATTGTGTCACTTTGCCATTTTTTGCCCGTTTTCATGTTAAAATGACCGGTTCTCAACACATGTGCGTTGCACATGACAAATCTAAGGCTATTGACGTCTTTTCTATTTTTAAAATGGAATAAATGTTTTTTTTAGGATAAATGGAATAAATGTTAAATAAAATAAATAAATAATAAAAGGCCTTCATCTTCTTCCCAATCCCAGGAACTACCCATCTCACGCACACCACCCCACTCTACTCACCCAATTCACAATTTTCAGCCGTCCGCCGCTCACCACTAGGAACCAGCTCCTCCCTCTTGCACAACCACCAAGCTCACCACCAATTCAGTGGCGTATCCAGTGTGGTCCAAGGGTGTGCTACTGCACACCCTTGATTTTAAAAAAAAATTATTTCCTATATATTTAGTAATATATCACTGCAAATGTAAAGTATGGCCAATGCAATGCTGTAGCTGAACTGGTTAAGTGCTCTATAGCATTTTGCAGAGGTACAGGGTTCGAGACCTAGAGTCCCCCAACCTCTCATTCATAATTTTTCCATTACATACAATATTTCAATTGTTTTAAAAAAATGTTGTATATGTGGGTATTTTTTAATATTTAAAAAAGAATCTCCTAATATAACATATATTTTGCTATTTGTAACTTTAATTTATTTATTATTTCTTAAATATTAAATATAATATAAATTATTCCAAAATTCTAAATATTGTATATATATGTATTATTTCATTTTTTTTTTCTAAATTTACAACTATGTGGGTTTTTTTTTTTTTTTTTTTTGAAAATTCAAAATCTGCTAATGAAATGTACATTTTGTCACTTGCAACTTATATATGTTTACGACTCCTTTAATATTTTCACCAATTTTATGTCTAAATATGCCCAAAAATGGTAAAATACTCCCTTTAAATTTAAAAATTTTAAAGATTTTTTATTATTTAATGTGTACAGTATTCAAAAAAAAAATTCGGGGGCGCTGCCCCCGAACCCCCGTAAACTATTAGCCAACCATTATATTTTTTACTATATTTAATTTCGAACACCCTTGGCAAAAATCCTGGATTCGCCACTGACCACCATCACCACATCTTCTTCACATCCGCCGCCCACAACCCAGCTCCGCCCTCTTGCACAACCACCATACTCACCACCACCACCACATCTTCAGATCCGCCGCCCACAACCTCAAACGAGAATTTTCGACAATGAACACAATACATTCTAAAGTTTGTATTTTGAACACATTTAATCCCAACCCATTTTAATTGAATGAAATTGGTCCTAAAATTACGTCAAAAATGCCCATTTAATTTTCTCTTTCCCCAATTCAGGTTATATGAACACTATTTTCTCTCGATTTCTTCCTCCGAATCAACTAGATCATCTTCCAACGAATGGAGGATTAGATGATCTTCTCACAATTGAGGCCGCAGCGGAAGTGCGCGGCGCTTGGTGGTGAGATCGGGTATGAAATCCTCTGCTTTTGCAACAAACACACTACCACTCCGAAATGATAAAACCACCACCAGTTGCACAAAAAATCGTCCCCCCATTTCACCAAGATCATCCCACTTCAATTCAAATGCAAAATAATTTTTTTTTTTTTTATTAAAATCAACAGATCTGAAGTGGGATTCAATCAAAGAATCAAATATTCGATGAAAAAAGTGAAATACAAACGTACCAAGTTAATTCGTACCGATTAAATTAGTTAAAAACGGGAAAGAATGTGTTGTGTGTGTGTGTGTGTGTGAGAGAGAGAATCTTTCTTCAAAACTTGTGTTCTGCAACTGCAAGTGGGTTTTATCCCCTGTATATGTATGTATAATGTATGTATATATAAAATTGATTAATTAAATAAAATAAAACTGACATGTTTTTTTTCATTTAATTATTCTATTTTATATTTATTCCATTTATCCTAAAAAAAAACATTTATTCCATTTTAAAAATGGAAAAGACATCAATACCCTTGAATTTGTCATGTGCAACGCACATGTGTTGAGAACCGGTCATTTTGACCTGAAAACGGGCAAAAAATGGCAAAGTGACACAATTTATTAAGTACAGGTGAACTCGTGCAAAAAAAAATTGTTCAGGTGGTGATCCGCAAAAACTGAAAAAGTTTAGGTGGTTTAATGCTATTTACCCTAGAAAATATTCAAATCTGGATAGCCAAAACTTAAATATTACAAAGTAGAAATGAAACTTGGGGAAGAAGCTAAATTATCTACTTTAACTAGCTAGCAAAATACTTAGAGATTGCTTGTCTAAAATCCAACATTGCTTTCACTATTTATTGGCATCTTCCTTAACGGAATGGTCAGTCTGGTCCCATGAAGCAGCTCTTGAAACGAATTCGCATACATCTCCTCTCACCAACTCGAAAGCGGAAATAAAATTGTAATAACATTAGTAACGACTCATTAAGTTAAAACGACATCGTGCAAATAAGGAAAGGCACGTAATTCCATTACATTGCACCCCTCTTTTTCGAGCCATGAGTCATGGCTTGGAATTGGGAACTTCTTCTCCATTGCATCAGCTTCCTCCAACGTAGCTTCCTCTTTGGGCAAGTGGGCCCAACGAACCAACCACTTAACCAAGTTGCGTTGTTTTTCTTCATCATTCTCCTTCCTAGCACTTCTTCTGCAACCAGTAAGAATTGAGAATTCTCATCCAGAGGCGGTATACTTACAGATATAACCCAAGTATTTGTCACATATTTCTTGAGCTGTGAGACATGAAAGACTAGGTGGACCTTGGACTACAGGGGTAATAATAACTCAAAACCCACATTCTCTATCTTCTTAGTAACTTCGAAAAGTTCACAATACTTTGGGGTTATTTTTCAAATTAACTTTTTCTTAGTATGGATTGTTTGTAGGGTTTTAGCTTGAGGTAAACCCTTTCACTTAATTCTATGTTGACTTAATCTCCTACTTCAAACACCCTTTCACTTCATTTGGAAAGTATTTCGTCCTCCCTTGAGATTCCCTAAGTTATATCCCCTTTAGTTGTTGTGATACCATTTATGGTCTTTCACCCAAGCTTCAAATGGGGTGCTTTGTATAGTTGAATGGTAAGTAGTATTATACCACCACTCAGCTAATGTTATCCAAGAACTTTATTTCTTGGAAAACTGTCCAAACACATACACCTCAAATAACTTTTTAAGCATTGGTTTACCCTTTCCGTACAGCCATCGGTTTGTGGATAGTTCAGTGCTTAGTTGTTGTTGGGACCAGGGCACGTCGCAGTGGAATTTAAAAAAATTAACACATAATAACAAGTTATTCTATGAACATGTGCATAAACGAACAATCAATTGCGTACCTTAAAGCTTCCATCACCAACAAGCATGCATATATATAATTAGGGATAAATAGCATTAAACCATCTAACTTTGCCCCTTTTTGCGGATTACTACCTAAAAAAAAAAACTACGATATCACCTGAACTCAATAAGTTATGCCACGTTACCCGTTTTTTTTCTTTTTTTTAGGCCAAAATGGCCGGAATTAAAAGCATGTGCGTTGCACATGCGATTTGGAAGGGTTTTTTTGTTGTTTCAAAGTCACATCCCTAATTCCTCCAATTTTTAAAATGCGATTTGGAAGGGTTTTTTAGTTTTTTCAAAGTCGCATTCCTAATTCCTCCAATTTTTAAATCATGTATATCTCGAATTTAAAAAAAAAAAAAAAAAAACGAAAGCAAATTATGCTATTTCTGTTTAGTTCAACGCGGAACCCGGTTTTCAGTTTTTCTTACTTTTTCTAGTTATTGTTGTTTAACATGGAATTTGTAATTGCAAAAAGAGATTCGGTGTTGACCAACGGAATAACAAAAAACAAATACCTGAAAGTCTAGATAATCGTCGTTCATTTGGTTTATTGTCGCGTCCTAGTTGATAACATTCGGAAAAAAATAACAATTTCCGAGATTGAAAATGAAAGAATTAACTAAACTGTAGGACTTTTAGAATTATGTTGGAAATTACTCCCCTCCAAAGCATAACAAATGCCTACAAATGAAAATAAGATTGTTGGGTTGTTTTAAATGGTACTTCAATAAATTTATATATAATTGAATAATTAAAATGAAATAGTAGATGTTGAGTTAGCAAAAAATATGTATACACCAAGTTAGTTATAAGAGAAAACTAATTAAAGATGATAAAATATAGTAGTAGTAAGAAGTTTGACTAATTTGTTAAAATGTAGTGGTAATGTTAAATGGCCAAATGAACAACTCATTTTACCTGGAATTCTAACACAGGCAAAAACCTCCATATCCAAAAGATGAACACTGACTTCACAAGATATTACTGAAAACCGATATACAAAGGAAAAAACCCCGAACGTAAACCGAAACAGTTAAAAATATAAAAGAAAAAAACAAATAAAAAAAAACCACACCGAGCTCAATTTATCCATGTACAGCTACTTAATATGTCGCTTCTGTTTCACAAGAGCGAGTCTTCTAGGCATCTGTAAAAACATGTTAAAACAAAACATTTCGTTATATTAGATACAAACATCTAATGATGAAGTAAGCAAACAATCTCTCATACACCGTTTGTTCGAAGAAAAGAAAAACAAGATGCAAATTATTACCACAAAATACCATTCCATGTACACAAATAAATAAACAAGAGAGAATGGAGTATTTTGCGCATTTGATACTGATGCATAAACGACAGCCAAAATACTATGCTTTCTCAGAACAGTTAATTGACAACGTACAAAACGGCCTATAGCAAATATGAATACATAAATCATGTTACTATAATTTCCTCTGTAGGGCAACTAGAGAGAGAGAGTAAAGTTTCGGTTCATTCTTGTTAGAATAGAAAAGCCGAGATCGAACATGAAATGTAATAGAAAAGCCAGACGAATTAATATTTTTGAACGAGTCATGTCTATGTCTTATATAGAGATAGGAAAAGAGTTGTAACAAGAAAATAATTCTTCCCAAAGACGGACACAAATCTTCTAACTAATATAGAAACAAAATTCATAACCGAATATTGATAAATATCTTCTAATACTCCCCCGAAATTGGAACTTGTCACAAAACAATAATGTAAAATTAAATATTCTTTAGCATAGCACAGATTTGTCAAACAAAAAGGATGCATAATTAATTAGTAATCCGGTCAGAGTTGTTTCGGGTTTCGGGTTTCGGGATTTCGGGTTTCGGATTTGCAAACAGACGACATCAGTCAGTCATGGTCGGCTGGGAGATCGATAGATAGTCCAATTGATTTCGTCGGTAGATAAAAATAGTAGTGGTAACACAAACAAAAGTGGAAATAGCCTTCTCGATTTTGATTGGCAATATTTACAGTAAGTAAAGTAGGTAAACTGTAGACAATAACAATGGATATCCTGACAGACGTAAAACCAACAGTAGAAGAAATTATTGTTTATTTTTTATGTCAAGGAATTACAATTGGACAATAAAAAATAAAAATAAAAATAAAATTAAATGAATAAATAAATAAAACCTTGAAGATGTTGCAGAAAAAAACTCGAAAACAGAAAAAAAAAATACATAAGTAGATAGCATAAAAAGGAAAATAGAAAAAGGAGAGGATTTTTTTATCTGAAATACCAAAATCATTAACCAATATTTCGGTATCTACCGGAAATTATTAACCACTTAAATCGTGTAACTGAAAATTAGACTTTAAATGGTCCAATTATTCATTTTATTGTATCAACATACTAAAATCACTCTAAATATAAAAAGATGATCATTTACACAATCTTCATTTGACAAGATTAAAAAACAAGAATGCTTCATGTTTGTTGAATTCACGATATAGTTTCCAATTAATAAATAGCAAAAACAAAAGCTAACAAGGATGATAGGTTGCTACTTCCACAATATGTAACTCCATCCACGTTCAACATATGTTTTCTATGCAAACTTTTCTCATATTTTTCCAACTATAAACCGGCGAGGAAATGAAACAATTCATAAAAAAAAATTAAAAAAAAAATCAATTAATTAAATGCGTTATATGGTCGGCATATCCATTTATTAAATGTGTAGCAACTCCATATAATAAAATGCCGGATGCCGAAAACCGAAAAGTAACATCATACCGTACCAAAACTATGATGGAGATATTATTTCTTTAATCGAATCCATGGCCAATGAAAGAATTCTTCCTAAGGAGAGACAAATTTCCTAACTAAGAGACAAACTACTAAATAGACACAGATTCCTAACCAAATGTACACTCGTAAATATCGTCTAATATTTTAAAAAACAAGTCTAATTACGCACACAGAAAGATCGAAAGATAGAACAAGTGCGGCATGGTAAAAAAATAAAAGAATCTCTGAATCAAAATAATGTATCTAAACCATACCTTACACGAATGGTCATGTTAAATTTGCCTTTCTTGATTTAATGAGAGCTGAATGTAACTCTCGCAGTCGAACAGTTATTTCACGAATGAACTCAAATCCTTCACTTCCCTTTTCAAGTGAGTTTATCGAACAGTCAATAACATTTTGTTCTGCCTCGAGCGATTCCAGTCTATTGTTCATAACAGAAAGCTCGTGTCTAAATGCCTCCAACTCAGCATCTGTACACACATGTCTGCTAGACCTTGATTTACCACTACTTTCTTTCGAAGAAGAAGAATCTTTATGCGCGACTGCATCTCCTTGAAGAATAGTGTTTTCTGTTCCACCATTTTCTTGAGACGACGCACTTGCCTCAGCCTCAGGTACTTCTTCTACCCCATCAATCATATCAGGGTAGAGTTCGTGTTTGGCGAACATAAGCAGTTTTTCCTCCAACTTTTGTAAGCATTGTAACATATATTGTTTTTCATCTTCATGCCCCGACGAGATCTTGGACGCTAAATCAGTTACGTCGACAGTGTCGTTTTTGTAATTATCCAAATTCCCAAGTGCAGCAATCTTCAGTTCAACCGCATCAGATTCGATCCTGGGTTCGACAAGGGTATTATTATTCAACAAAGAATCATCATCGAGTTGATTCCTAAGCATTTCGAGCTCGAACTCGAGATCTTGGATCAGTTTCTCCTTCTCCGTAAGCAAGTCATTAGCGTTCTGCAAAGCTTCACCGTCGTACTCGGCTTGTTCCTCCATCATTCTAATGCTCTGTAAAGCCTCCATGTGAAGGGCCGCTTTCTCTTCCTGCAGTCTCGTAATCATGGCCATTGATTGGTTAACCGCAATGGCAGAAGCGTTTCTCTCTTCCTCCAATTCTTTATACAGAGTAGCCATTATTCTCTTGTCGTGCTCAACCTGCCTTTTCAATCGGTCCAGAACAGTCTCACCTTCGATTTCACCGATAATGCTACCGTCGAGAGATAAATTGGATTCGTTCCTCTCGAGCGATATCCTTCTTTGAATTATTTGCATCCCCATAGCACCATAAGCATCAGTAGGTTCACTATTAGGAAATACACGAGGACTCATGTCATTTGACGATAATTCAAGGCCTCGAGCAGCGGATATTTGTGATAGCAAGAGCTTCAAATCTTCACTAGCTTTAGTAGATTCAGTCATGGATCTTTGTTGCTCTAAGAATCTTCCGGACATTTGTCTGCTCCTTGTACCGAGAGCTAATTTATAAGCATCACCAAAATCTAGAGACTCGGCTATTTGTGGGATATTATCAGTCTTGTTCGGTCTTGAATCCATTTGAACTTCATTTACGAGTACAACCATTGAAGTTTCTCCACTTTCAATTGTGCCTGCAGAGTGACTTCCCACATGAGAAGCTTCTCCATATTCAACGTGAACTTCTTTCTCCAACTCAACGGTGCTTTTAGCATCTAAAGAATACCAAACTAGTGAGCAGGTAAACCAAAATGATATTAAAAGGTTATAGACTGAGAAAAGATGATTAGAGAGAGACAGAAAAAATAGTTGTTTCCACCGCCAGCATTTATTCAGTAGAAATTGGATTAAAGAAAAGAAAACGAATTACCGAAATTGCAGATCAATAAGCATGTGGGGATTGTTATGATTGACTTAATCCGATAAGGCAAGTAGTTAACTATATATAAAAGCAATATGCTGAATTGCACATGGCATCCATAGTACACATTGTCTTGTTCTTCCCATATTTACTAACTACGAGGCTTGATTTGAAATGTAGAATCATTTTGCAATTTTTTTCACGAAAACGTGAAAGGTTTCAACAATATCAGATATACTGAAACCACCTAACTAAAATAAAAAAATCAATGAATGGTTATAGATGCAGTTAGGCATGCAATGCACTTTTTATTTTGACTTACTAGTTTCTTTTGATTCGTCACAATTATCGGGAGAAGGAAGTGCCTCGGGAATAGTAATGCGCTCAGATTGTTCACTGACATCATTACTGTGGTCAGCTTGCTGCCAATTAAGTTCCTCTAACCCGTGCCCAAGGGGTGTCTCGGATTCTACGTTATGATGTGAATTGATGATAGGGTACTCCGTTTCTGAATGTGAAAATTCTATTGGAGGAGATGGATGTATCAACTTCTCCAAAGCTGGAAAATCGGCAACAGAAATAATTTGAGGTTCGGAGGAAGTATAGTTAGCGACTGAATCTTGGCCCAAGACCTCCATTTCACGAAGGAGTGCTTTAACACTTTCAGTATCTGAAAACGGACCTTCTGATTCGGTATCAGAACTAACTTTGACCTGTTTATATTCGACGTGGGGCAGCGTATCAGCATTCTTGTTCCGAATTTGTCCTATTTGCGACGATCCCTCTATGATCCCATGCATCGGAGTTTCCTCCGGGTCAATTGATTTGCTCTTTAATAATTTCTCGGCGCAATTTTTAGAGATCCATTGCTCCTTGCAACACATACACTTTCTCGAGTCGGAAGAACCTTGAGCAAGGGCATTACCGTAAGGCTCGGACCCCAGTTTGCCAACTAGTAATCTGTATGTTTCGGCGTTCGACTTGTTTGTCGTGGCGAACGAGAAGAAGCAAGTTTCGCATGTTCCATGAACGTCAACGAGTTTGTTGTGATGTTGACAGAGAACTAAAGAAGAAATGTTTAACTTGTGGTTGTGGCAGAACAAATCCCAGTGAAAACTATCTTTTTCATTGCCCAGAACATGATCGAGTCTCGAGCAAAGCAAACACGGGATTTGCAATTGGCAGTAGCGGGCAAACCTTGTAACTAAGTACGAGAAACTAGCATCGACGAAAATCATAAACATCAGCATCCATTCAAGAACTGCTGAAACTAAAGCTGAGGTAATACTAAGAGACACGTTCTGCGAAGATTCGTTAGCTGGAGCTCGATTTAATTCCATTTGTCCTGAAAATCACATAAAACCGGGACTTGGTTTTCAAAGCTAAGCATGAGTAATAAAGGCATAAATCAATTGCAACATAAAATTCGAACAGCAGATTCATTATATTATGCCAAACAATACGTCACTCTGTAACGAAACTCTATCCCAACACGCATTCATTCGATTGCTAAGGAATATCCCAACAAACAATAACAAAGTAATGCAAAGAAAAGAGTCAACCATACGAAAAAAGTCGAGCCATCACTTAATTTTCGACATTCGAATTCAACAATACAGTGAAAATATGCACAGATCATTAGCATCAAACAAAGAATCACAAGTCCCAAAAGCAATTAAATGAAGGAAAAAGGTAAACAAATCACCAGAATCACACCTGATCGCAGCCTTCACCGAAGACTGACAAAAAATGATCACAATTCAGACAGATCAAAAAAAAATGAGAAGAAACCCCAGATGTATTTATTAATCCCCTACTCTATAAATACAAATTACATACAAAAGTATATATGCAAGATAGTGGTGGTGGTGATGTAACGGGTCAAGTGTTTGAAAAATTCTAACACAAAGATGGGATTGGTTGGAATTGGAAAAAAAATAAAATATAATAATGAGGGAGAGAGAGAGAGAGAGAGAGAGGAAGGCGACGCAGAGACTATGACCAAAGAGTTGGCTGAGTGATGACTATTGAGTTGGCATTATAGAACCGAAAGGTGGCGGCCACCGCCCCCACCCCCACCCCACCCACCACCACCCTTTCCCTGAAAAGGTTAAATCTTTTTTCAGCAAAACAGATCATGGATTCCATCGATTTCTACTTTTCACCTGTAATTTTTGGTATATAGTAATAATGATTGAGTTGATCATTGATTGCGAAAAGAGATGGAGAGAGACAAATGGAATAGAGGATTTAGGGCAAAAGGAATTAAGAAATGGAGAAATTGAAGAGAGAGAGAGAGAGATAAATAAGAACAGGTGAAATCTCTCTAAGAATTCATACAAATTACCTTGGATTTGCTGATTATGAAACATATCTATATATAGATATTCGACCTAGCTAGTTTCAAATTGAGATCTTAATGAAACATGCAATCGAGATTCCATTTTCTACCAATCATCTCTTATTTTATCCCGCTTTGAATTGTATATGGTATTTGACCAAAGAGGGTGTTTGTTTACTTGGGATGTGTGTATTTCCAAATGTGAAATTACATAATTCCGACAAACTGAAATGCTATTCATAGAACATATTTTACCACCTTGCAGTGTGACTTTATTTTATTTGTAATTTTCAAAGATAAAAACCACAGTTCTCTCAATTTCTTTCCCAATTATATTTCGTGCATTAACATTTTGTATTCCCTAACACGGAATGGATGAAGGCATTTCGTGCAAAGAAGCACGAGATAGTGTTTTTTTACGATACACGAAACCATAAATTTATGTTTTTATGCATTTCGTGTTGTATTGCACGAAATGCAAAAAAGGTCAAAATTCGATAAAAAAAAATACGTTCTTTATCTCAAAATCGAAGTAGGTTTCATCCGTATTGATAATTATTGTGTTCTAATTGATATTATCAGAAAATTTGACAATTTGGAAAGTTCAAAAAAAATCGGAGGTTGAGAGAATTTGGAAACAAGTTAAAGGATTTCTTGACAAATGAATTATTTCGCACTGTAACTGAAAAAAATTGCATTATGAATAGTAAACCCCTTTCAACAAAGTAACCGTAATCAAGACAACAGTTTGGTTCTTTTTTACATAAAACAAACTAATTCCATATAATTGCTATCGATTTTGACAACTTTCTCCGTAATACAGCGATTATTTCGAACTAATAAAGTAGAACGATTAATTTTGGATTACAATGAACATAAAAGTGTTTTAACATTTTTACTGTTACATGAAAAAATGACACGAATTGCAACAATATGCAATGGAAATGTTTGGATGCAAGTGAGTGATTCAAATGCTGGATTTTCGGTACTTATTTATAAATTTCAAAGGTTATGACCAAAACTCCCAAATTTAAAAAAAATGAGTACTTGAAATGTCCTATGATTAAACAAACACCTATTTGGTTGAAAAGGTAATTTTCGTTTAACTTAACATATTTTCAACTGAATGGGTATTCAAAAACTTCCATGTTTTTGATAATGACGTTTCACCTATGCATTCTCCATTTATTTATATTAAGTGGTTTATTAATTTCTCATTCACTAAAAATTCATCTCTAAATGCAAAATAATGACCTAGTAGTTGTTGTCGATGCAAAAACTCTATTTTTTCTCCTTAAGAAAATTTTGTTCCTTACAAATGCTTTCAATTTTTAGCACTTGTATCTACAGATACAATGGTTATTTCAAACAAAAAAAATGTAGCACAGCTAATTTTGGATTACAACAAACAAAATAATGTGCTGGACTTTTTACTATGAGACAAAGAAAAACACAAATTGCAATATACATGAAAAAAATGTTTGGATGGAAGTGAGTGATTCAAATGGTGTGCTTTGGAATCTTTATATAGATACATAAATATTAGGACACATTACAAATAAGTTCATTAGGAGATATTTATTCATAAAAGGGCTTAGATAAAAAATCTTTTTACAAAAAAAATCCACACGTTGTTCAGATATATGTAGAAGCTTAAAATAGCCCCTCACATTTTTTCAAGTTCATTCTTTAATTTAATTTAACCTCAATTTGACCCAAAAAATTTACAAAGTATTCATTTGACCCAAAACTAAATTTTGAGTACAATTTCGTCCGTTGACCGCCTATCTCTAGCGTTGACCTTTTTTTTTCTTCCATATTTTTCCGCCAGTTTCCCACTGACTTTTTCGTTTTTTTTCCTTTTTTCTGCCGATCTTTGGCGGCGTTGACTTTTTTTTCTTCTCGGTAACATATTTTTGCCACGTTTAATCAGCAATATTCTTGTGGTTGACATTCATGTTAACTATATTACTGTTAAATACAGTAAGATTACTATAGTACAGTTTAACACAATAACATTGCTATATTAATATCTAGCACAATAACATTAACACAATAAAAGTCATTATTATTGTGTAATAGAGTAATAATAATATATTGACCGTTCAACAAATGTAAACATAATAAAAAGTCAAAAGAATTGATATTGATGTGGTTGACAATAATATTACTGTCATCCAGAGTAATATTACTTTAGCAATAGTAATATTACGGTCAACTACAGTAATATTATTGTGTTTACAATAATATTACAATAGTAGATAGTAATATTATTACGTTAATCCGTCAACAATCCAAACAAAACAAAAAACCAAAAAAAAATATTGATTTGGTTGACAATAATATTATTGTGGTTACAGTTATTTTACTGTCAACGATAGTTATTATAGTTACGTTGACTTGTCAACAAATCAAACTAAATAAAAAAAAGCCAAAAAAATAATAATATTGTCGCTGACTGTAATTATACTGTCAATGACAATACACTTACATAAATGTACAGTCAACGATAGTACAATTACGTTAGTGTACTGTCAGTGACAGTATAATACTGTTAATGACAATACAATTATGGTCAACGTTTAGCAGCGGACGTAAAAAAACGCATAAAATTTTAGGGAAAAAAAACGCATAAAATTTAGGGGAAAAAAACACTAAAAAAATCAGCGCCGGAGACCGGCGGCAAAAAGATAATTTCAGAACAAATTTAAAAAAAAAAATCAAAGTTGGATTTTTGTGGTTAAAATTAATTAAATAGGGGTTACAATTAAGAATTGAGTGTAAATGATTGAGGTTAATTTTATCATACATTAATGTTTCCTTTATTTATAATACATATTAAAGGGATGAGCTTACGTACAAAAATCCCTAAATATTATGACCCATAAGTCATAACCATCAGGGAAATTATACTTTGGAAAGGTATCATACATATACGATCGAATACGTATTTGGTTGAAGAGGTATCGTTTTGTTTTGACACGTTTTTTGTTGAATGAGTGTTTAAAACAACTCCATATTTTCAACGGCGATTCTTCACCTTTTCACTCTCCATTAATTTATTTTAAGTGATTTATTAATTTCTCATTAATCGGAAAATGATTTTGAGAAGCTATTTAGGATGTTTATATTGAAACTATGTAACAACAAAATTTCGATATTTTAAGTGATTTATTAATTTCTCATTAATCGGAAAATGATTTTGAGAAGCTATTTAGGATGTCTATATTGAAACTATGTAATAACAAAATTTCGATAACGTAACAGTAGTCCAGTCAAGAGTTCGATTTTTTTTATTAATGGCAAATAGGCCCATGACAAAAACACTTAATTAAAAGATCGGTTTTTTTATTAATGGCAAATAGCAAATAGGCCCATGACAAAGACACTTAATTAAAAGAGGGACATCCAACTTTTTTGTCTTTCAAATAAATCCAGCTCATTCAACCTTATTTGCAAATAAGGAAAATCTTTTTATATATACCTAAATTACCACCAATTCATTGAAACTCATTTCAATTCCAATTTCATGATTTACACCCCAATTTAGCCCCAATTTCATCAATTAACTAATTTTAACCATAATTTTAATTTTGACCCGCCGGTCACCGCCGTTGACCGGCGTTGACTTTTTTTTCTTTTTTTTGAAAAACTTTTTTTTCCCTGAATTTTTTTTCCGGCCGGTCGCCATTGACCGCTGGGTCTCCGGCGTTGACTATTTTTTTTATTTTATTTTTTAATTTTGTTTTTTCTTAAAAATAATATTACTGTCTTGGCTAGGTGTGGAAATCGGACGGATCGGATCGGAAATATCGGAAATGAGTCTTTCGGAAAATTTCCGATTTTTTGCGGAACAACAATCTCAGTTCCGATTCCGACTCCGAAATTTTCGGAATCTCAAAATGAGATCCGATTCCGATTTAATCGGAAAAATCGGAATTTTCGATTAAAAAAAAAAGAGAAAACAATTTTTTTTTCGAACACACCAGAGAACAAAAAAACAGCAACGATTAATCTCTCCAAATAAAAACGAGGAAAAAGGAGGACGGAGGGATACGTTTGAAATCAAAAGAACAAGCTCTCATCGGCGCTGTGAGGAAAGAAGAAATTGGAGGATTACGTCAAAATACATGTAGGGTTAGTAGGGTTAGTGTGGTTTGTAAAATGGGCCAATATTTGGTGGGCCATAAAAGTCTTTAAAGCAATTAGTTGAAGCCCACATCAACAACTTTGGTTTTAATATGAAAATCCGTATACATAATACATGTAAATATAATAAAATTTTCGGAAAATGTCGGAATTCATTTCGGATCGGAATTTGGAAATTCTGAATTTTTCATATCAATTTCCAATTCCGATCCGATTTTTTTCGGAAATTTCGGAAATCGGAATTTCGGAAATCGGACTACAAAAAATTGCTCCAAAATTGGAAATATTCGGATCGGAATCGGCGGAAATCGGAAATTTCATTCCGATTTCCACCCCTAGTCTTGGCTGCTAAATTACTGTCTCCGGCAGTTATTTAACTGTCGGAGACAGTAATTTAACAATTAATTGACTTTTTTTTTTCTTCAAAAATATTTTAATTAATATTACTGTCTTTGCTACTAAATTACTGTCTCCAACAGTTATTTAACTGTCGTAGAGAGTAATTTAACTGTTAATTGACTTTTTTTTAAATATTTTAATTAATATTATTGTATTTGTTGCTAAATTACTGTCTCCAGCAGTTATTTTACTGTCGGAGAAGTAATTTAACTGTTAATTGACTTTTTTATTCTTAAAAAAATATTTTTAATTAGTATTACTGTATTCGTTGCTAAATGACTGTCTCCAGCAGTTATTTAATTGTCGGAGACAGTAATTTAACTGTTAATTGACATTTTTTTTTTGAAATTTTTTTTCTTAAAAAAAATTATTTTAATTAATATTACTGTCTTCGCTGCTAAATTACTGTCTCCAACAGTAATTTAACTGTCTTAGACAATAATATTAATAATATTACTGTTCGGGAAAATAATATTCGTAATATTACTGTCCCAAACAGTAATATTACTGTCCCAAACAGTAATATTACTGTCCCAAACAGTAATATACTGTCTGAGACAGTAATTTAGAAGTCAAGACAGTAATATTAATTAAAATATTTTTTTCTAAAAAAAAAATTCAAAAAAAAAAAAAAAAAAAAGTCAACGCCGGAGACCGGCGGTCAACCACCGGTCAACGGTGGTTGACTGGCCGGAAAAAAAATTCAGGAAAAAAAAATTCAAAAAAAAAAAAAAAGTCAACGCCGGAATCTGGCCGGAAAAAAAAATTCAGAAAAAAAATTATTTTCTAAAAAAAAATATTTGAGGGTAAATGTGATATATTTGTTTAAATCCGGGGTCAATGTGTAATTTTAAGGAGGTTAGAGCATAATGGATGAAATTGATAAGAATTATATTATGGAGGGTATTTTAGACTAAAGACATAGGGATGAGTTTAATTAAGAGACTTTTTTTTTTGTGGACCAAAATGAATTTAAGTCCCATGTGATGAGCATTTTTGCCATTCGCCATTTTATTAATTAAGATACAATGAGCATTGAGTCATTGTATCTTAGCAATTACCATATAATTAAGTGCTTTTGATTTTTGGTAATTGTTAAGATACAATGACCATCTCAAGGAAGAAAAGAAAAAAATAAAAAAAGATGGAACAACTAATTTTGAATTACCACGAAAATGGGTGTTTCAAACCTTTTACTATGATATGGAGACAAATTGCAACAATGTTATGAAATGAAAATGTTTGGATGCAAGTGAATGATTCATATGATGAATTTTGGAATTTAGTTCTCTAAAATATGTAAAATTCATACTCGCCCCCACACACATAATAAGACTGTATTTGGACTGGGTTCGACCCACATCTGAATGTAATCGATTTGAATCGTCGGACCCTTTAACATTTAATATTATTTAATTTTTATTATAATATACTAGTATATTTACAACATAAAAATCTCAAAATTGAAGTACACATTATACAAATTATATATTATGTGAAAGGAATATTACAAATAAATCATTAATTATATTTAAGTGCAACAATTATAAATTTCAAATGGCAGGAACCCAAGTGGTGGTCGACGAATGGTACAAACATTGAAAATAGGCTTAAAAGAGAAGAGGGCAACTTTGAGTGAAAATCATTACTTCACTTATCTTAAAAACAACATTTTTACACACACACACATTATGTAGACACGCTTTAAACGGGTGTGTTCTGGGTCTGAAACCCGTTAAACTGTACCATTGTCATCCCTAGGGGTGTAAATGAGACGAGCCGGCTCATGAGCTTTCGAAGCTTGCTCGAAAAAGGCTCGTACTCGAGCTCACGAGCCCGAGCTTTTCGACGAGTCGAGCTCGAGCTTCATTTCAGTTGTTCGACAGCTCGCGAGCAGGCTCGCGAGCTTTACCTTTTCTCTATATTTTTTAATACATATTAATAATATATAATAATGGATATTAATAATAATAAATAAATAAAGAATAATATTACCTTTTTAATTGAAAAAATAAATTTGATGGATGGATTTTTGGTTGTACCGAGCTTGAGCTCGAGCTCGAGCTCGCGCTCGTTTCGTATACGAGCTCGAGCTCCTTAGAAACACAAGGAGCTCGAGCTCGAGCTAAAATTTATAGGCTTCTCGAGCTCGAGCCTTGGCGAGCTCGAACTCGGGCTCATGAAATAAGGCGAGCTCGGCTCGTTTACACCCCTACTCATCCCTAATAGTAGAAAGGGTGAAAAATCAGATGAATCGAATCGAAATTAACAATTTCAAAAAAAAAAAAAAATCAAATTGTTTTAAAAGGTAAAATAATTTCAATTTTGTTCCAAAAAGATCGAAATTTCCGAAACTGAAATTAAATAACTAGTTTCATTATTGGGAATTTTCGGATCTAGATATGCACGATTTTAATTTTTTTTTTTCTTTATATTTCACCTATAATATAAAATACAACAATATTATTAATCTTGTGCTGTTTTCGAAAAAAATAATCATTTTTTTTCAAAATATTGTGGAAATTAAAATCGGATATGAAACACAATCTCATAATATTCCAATTCCTATCCAAAGAAATTTCGAAGAAAAAAAAAATGAAAAATGAGAATGTTTGGATTTTGAAGAATTGAATTCTAGAATTAAATATTAGAGTTGGTTTATTTTGTAAAGCACTAAAATGATTTTAGGTCAAACTTCTTCTCCTTTTCTCTCTCCTATTTTGTAAAGCACTAAAATATTAGAGTTGGTTTATTTTGTAAAGCACTAAAATGATTTTAGTAAAATCCCACAAAATAAAACATCAAGTGGGGGAGAAGACAAAAAATAAATAATAAAATATAAAAAATAAGAAAGGGAGTAATAAAAAGGGGTAATAGGGTAAAGTACAAAATAGGAGAGAGAAAAGGAGAAGAAGTTTGACCTAAATACCCATCTCCGCACAGCTCGCAACCCTTGCTCTTCTGCCCTTGCCTTCTCTCTTTTCCCCAATTTCCCATTTCTCTCCTTCCTCTTCCCTTTTTACCCGCCACTTCCAATTTCCCGTTACTCTCTCTCTCCAATCTTTTTTGAATTTTTTCTGTGTTTTTGCATCCTATCTTCTGATTCAATTTTCACCAGATTCTTCTACTCCCGACTTTCTTCGTTTGCAGCTAGCTCGATTTTTTTTTTTTTTTTGTTTTTGGAACTGCTCGCTAGCTCTGTCAACGCCACCAACTCTGCAACTTGATGTGAGAAAGATTTCAGTTTTTTCTGCTTTCAGGTATTTTTTCCTTTTTTTTTTTTTTTTAATTTTTAAATTCTGATTTCTCGTGAGTTCTTATTTATCCCTTTTGTTATCTTAATTTTGTGCTTTGTGAATGAAAATCCGATTGTTTGTGGGTGTTTCCGTTAATGGATTTCGTATTCTGTTGCGAGATATCCTTGATTTTGCTGTTTGGTGATTTCAGTAGTGAACTGATTTTTAGGGTTTTGGGGTGTTTGGTATTCTCGTGATTTCAGTAGTTGAGATACTGTGTGATTTATTTACTCTTGATACATCAATTGATTGAAAACAGAATCTCTGCAAACTCGAACATGCCTTAATTTGTTAGATTAGAATTGTGTTAGTAATTGCTTGGTGTATATTATTTCCAGTTATTTCGTAAGATCGTTGTGCCGTGAATACAGGTGTAAAAAAATGTCAAATCACAACAACGTGCTGCTCGGACAAAACAATGCCATACCTCTTAACCGCATCCAGCATGTAGTGCTGAACCGTAACCACAACATGGTTATCGCCCAAAACCATGTCTTGGAAATCGGACAGACGCACGAACAAGAAACCGAATTGGTTCAGACACATGACCAGCAGGTGGACAATGGTGACGAATTCGAACAGCAGAACGGGTTATCAATTGAGGAGAAACCCGATCAAGAAGAGTTGGATATCTCCGACCAAGATGAATTAGCCATTTCCGAAACCCAAGAACTCGACGAAAACATGGAATTAGCAATCCACCACGAAGACATGACCATGGACTCCATGCATGACGACGATGAAATGGGCCTCCACCATGCTCTTGTGCTCACTCCCTCGCACGTTATCCAACAGAGAACACTCGCTTTAACACCCAACTTCGAAATCCACGTGGGCCAAGAATTCCCCGACGTCAGAGCTTGCCGTAGGGCTTTGCGAGACACAGCCATCGCCCTCCACTTTGAGATGCAGACGATAAAATCCGACAAAACCCGATTCACCGCCAAGTGCGCAAACGAATCTTGCCCGTGGCGAATCCATGCTGCAAAGCTGCCCGGTGTGCCGACCTTCACAATCAGGACCATAAACGACAGCCATACGTGTGGTGGAATCGGGCATCTCGGCCACCAACAGGCCTCCGTTCAGTGGGTGGCCAATTCTGTGGAGCAACGTCTCAGAGAGAACCCTAATTGCAAGCCGAAAGAAATCTTGGAAGAGATTCACAGAGTGCACGGTATCACTTTATCTTACAAACAAGCATGGCGTGGGAAGGAGAGGATTATGTCCGCCATGCGTGGCTCCTTTGAAGAAGGCTACCGTCTCCTCCCACAGTACTGCGAGCAAATCAAACGAACCAATCCAGGGAGTATTGCGTCTGTTTATGGAAACCCTGCAGATAACTGCTTTAAGCGTTTATTTATTTCATTCCAGGCTTCGATGTACGGTTTCCTAAATGCGTGTCGTCCACTTCTTGGGCTCGACCGAACATTTTTAAAGAGTAAGTACTTGGGCACGTTGCTTCTTGCTACTGGTTTCGATGGGGATGGTGCACTTTTCCCTTTGGCGTTTGGTGTTGTCGATGAAGAGAGTGACGAAAACTGGATGTGGTTTCTTTCGGAGCTGCATAACCTTCTCGAGGTCAATACCGAAAACATGCCGAGGCTTACGATATTGTCAGACAGGGCAAAAGGCATTGTCAACGGTGTTGAAGCCAATTTCCCCACTGCCTTTCACGGCTTCTGCATGCGTCATTTGAGCGAGAGCTTCCGCAAAGAGTTCAACAACACAATGCTCGTTAACCTATTATGGGAAGCCGCGCACGCACTTACGGTTATTGAATTCGACAACAAAATATTAGAAATCGAAGAGGTTTCTCAAGATGCAGCGTACTGGATCAGACGACTCCCGGCCCGTTTATGGGCAACGGCGTACTTCGAAGGGACGAGGTTCGGACATTTGACGGCTAATATAGTGGAGTCGCAAAACAGTTGGATCTTGGAAGATTCTGGACTTCCAATAATTCAGATGATGGAGTGCATAAGAAGGCAGCTCATGACATGGTTCAACGAGCGGAGAGAGACGAGCATGCAGTGGACCTCGATACTGGTCCCCACCGCAGAGAGGCGGGTCGCCGAGGCGCTCGAGCGGGCCCGCACGTACCAGGTTCTTCGCGCGAACGAGGCTGAGTTCGAGGTTATATCGCACGAGGGGACGAACATTGTTGATATCAAGAACAGGTGCTGTCTCTGTCGGGGGTGGCAGCTTTACGGTTTGCCGTGTGCGCATGCTGTGGCGGCTCTGCTCTCGTGCAGGCAGAATGTGCATCGGTTCACTGAGAGCTGCTTCACTGTGGCGACTTATAGGAAGACGTATTCGCAGACTATACATCCTATTCCGGACAAGACTCTGTGGACTGAGTTGTCGGAGGGAGATGTGGATAAGGTGTCGGAAATGGTTATTCATCCGCCGAAGTCGCTGCGTCCACCTGGCAGGCCGAGGAAGAAGCGTGTTAGAGCAGAGGATCGTGGGCGGACCAAGAGGGTTGTGCATTGTAGCCGGTGCAATCAGACGGGTCATTTCAGGACAACATGTGCAGCACCGATATGAGTACTCTCTCTCTCTCTCTCTCTCTCTCTCTCTCTCTCTCTCTCTCTCTCTTGTTGTGGGTAGTTGTTGTTTGGTGATGTAATGAAGTTATGATGCTACAAAAAGAACCTTTTTTTTTTTTTACCTGTGCAGAGATGTTTACGACTTAGTAGCTAAAGATTAATTAGTTGAGGTTGCAAATCATCGTTGTGATTGATTGTCAGATAATTCAGATATTTTTTTTTAGTTTCGTATGAGTACTGTGATTCGGTTGTTTGATTTTCCGTGCCGTGTAATTCTCAATCTTCGATAGTTGTTGTCATACGATTTTTGCAGATATATATTTGTGTTCATTTCGAATTCGATCTTTGTAACTGTTGTTCAAGATTCACAATCATAATAATGCTGTTTATACTCACTTCTCAGAAATTGGTGTGTGTCCAGAAAGAGATATTACTATGAACATATATTAATGTAATGTTTTAGTTATAAGAAACATATATTTATAGACCAATTAATTTGCTATCACAAAATTAGTGCACAAATGAACCAACTATGAGTCGAAAGAAGTTCATAAGTTCTTTCTTGCAAACACCCCCAAAATAGAAAAAAAAAAAAAAAAAAAATTTGAAATTGGTTAATAAAACTAATATTTAATATTTGGTATGCATACAATCATGCTGAGATGTATATGAAAATAAGTAGTAGTATTACAAATACATGGTGATTTATTGGTTGATTATTTATTTGCAAGTGGTGGACTTTTACCAATCATTGCTAGATGTGTGGCAACTTTTGTTGGTGGTGGACTTGCGGAAGAAATGTACAATAAATTTGTGTGTGTATTTTAATTTGTGATGTTAGTGAAAATTGTAATCTTGAATTTATTAACAAAATTGCGTTACAGAAAATAGTTGACTGTTTTTTTTCTCTTCTTTTTTTATGTTAAAAACATGCAAGTTATATGCGAATTTAGTGGTCTATATCACGCAACTCAACTACTATTTTAATAGTTGATATTACACAACTCAACTATGATTTTTATAGTGTAATACACAAATCAATTGCAATTTGAGTAGTCTAGTACACAAATTTTCTAGTTGGTTAGATGAATACAATTAAACCCGGTGGAAATAAACAAAAAAATTGTGTGTAATGAGTAATTTGCTATTACAGGGGCATTACTGGGTTATGAAACATTAGGGGTACCCTAATAATAAAAATATGGGTGGATCTACTCGTATTAAAAAAAAAAAAAAAAAAAAGATTATCAGCTAAAAGCCTAAAAACAATTTGGTACCACTTAAATGGTAGAAATATTTCTCATTTTGTTTAAATTACACTAATTTGTAGCGTTTAAAGTTCTTGAAGCCCCCTAGTTGGGTTATTTTGGGACCGAACGAACAATTTTGCCCTTCACGTACTCAACAATACATAAAAGTATGCGCTCGACAACACAAATAAAAGCGTTCTGTAGTACATAGAGAGCTAGGCTAGAGACCTGGCTAGCAACCAATGAACATGCATATCAACAACTAACGCCTAGTTTTACAACACATAGAGACCTTACACAAATAGTTTAGATTGAGTACTATCATTCATTACATGAATAGTTGCATTCATCGACATATAGAGATACCGCCTATGCCCGCTTTTCCGGGGTTCATGAGGGCTGATCCGTCGATGTTTAGTTTGTACCAATTAACCGGTGGAGGCTGCCATCGAAGGCTAATTGTAATTTTGTTAGGTTTAGGTGGTATATTAGGGATGAAACTATTTTTCACAAGAAGCCAGATTTGGTTTATATTTATTGGAATATTATGAAAAATAAAGTTGTTACGAGCTTTCCAGATAAACCAAAGGAGGGTGTAAAGTTGGTTCGGATAGGTCTTGTATTTTTTCGAAAGGGCATATGCGAGACTACAAAAATGAGAAGTAGTTTCAGAGGGAACGTGTGGGAGTTTGCGGATTAGAGGTTGAAGTTTATGGCATTGGAAGAAAAGGTGCGTGATGATTTCGGGGTAGGTTCCACACAACGGGCATGTATTTATTCTTAACACTTTTCTTCTATAAAGGAAGTCGGATGTAGGCAGACAATTATTCGAGAGTTTCCAGAGAAAAAATTTAATACGCGGACTTACCGTGGACTTCCAAATGGTTTACCATGGGAGAGAAGGAGTAAAGCTTGAATGTTGGTCATTAAATAACCAAAGGTAGGCACTTTTGAGGATGAATATGCCATCTTTTGTAAATGCCCATTTAAACGTATCTTTACAACGATGTTCGGGTATATGAATAGCCAAAATCTTGTCAACAATATATTGGGGTATAAAACTTGAAACACAAGTAAGATCCCATGATTGATGAATCGGGTTGATAAGATTAGAAACTCTAAGATTTACTAGATGATCAGGGATGCAAGAAACATAATCGGCTATTATGATATTATCAATCCATTTATCTGTCCAGAAATTGATTTTTTCGCCATTGCCAACCAGCCAAAACCGACATTCTCTCAGTTTATGAATACATTTATATATTGATTTCCAAATACTGCTATGGTGTGGTTTTGGTTTAGCTACGTTGGAAATGGTATTTGTTGGGTAGTATTTGTATTTCATAAGTCTGGTCAAAAGAGATGATGGATCGGTGAGAAGTCGCCAAGCTATCTTGAGGATAAAAGCATTGTTTAGAACGTGTAGGTCGCGAATACCGAGTCCTCCTTTGGTTTTGGGCAAGCAAACAGAATGCCAGTTTACAAGACTTTTTCTGTGGGATTGAGATGTAGAGTTCCAAAGGAATTTTTTGTTAAGGGAAGAGAGTGTGTTTATGGTAGCTGCTGGAAGTTGAAAAGTGTTCATGGTATAATTAGGAAGAGTATTTAACACATGCTTAATAAGCGTACATCTTCCAGCGTATGACAAGTATTTAGTGTACCAATTAGAAATTCGAGATTGAGTTTTGAGAATTGTATCAGAAGGTTGTCTTTGAGAGTCGGTTAATAATTAATGGGAGACCAAGGTATTTTTCACCTGTATTACCAGCTTTTATATTAAGCTGATCACAAATGGATATTTGAATTGTACTATTAGTATTTTTGGAGAAAAAAACTTTGGACTTATGCCAACAAATATTGAGACCAGATTCTTCTGCGAAACGAGAGAGAGTGTTTTGAATAAAATCAACAGATTTTTGATTTGTTTTAGAAAATATAATACAGTCATCGGCAAAACACAAAATGGGAATAAAAGGGCCATTTTTACTAGATTTAAGAGCATCAAATTGATTGTTAGTCTGTCCTTCAACAAATTTTTGAACAAGAAAATTCAAAGATAAAATAAATATGTATGGGGATAGGGGGTCACCTTGCCTAAGCCCACGTTGGGGTTTCCAAGGTTGTGAAATGAATCCATTCGTAGAAAGGGTGAAAGATACAGATCGTATACAACCCATAATCCAGTCGATCATTGGGGATGGAAAATTGTATTTGTTCAGGACAGTACTGATAAAACTCCATTCCAGTTTATCATATGCCTTTTCAAGATCAATTTTTAGGGCCATGTAAGAAGTTTTAGATTTTTTGGATTTCATAGTGTGGAGTAGTTCGTGAGCCATAATAATATTATCACCAATAAACCGTTTGGGAATAAAAGCATTTCGGAAAGGGGATATTAGAGTGTTCAAAATCAGGCGGAGGCGATTAACCAAAATATTTGAAATAATCTTATACAGTACGTACATTACAGAGGCTTATAGGCCGGAAATGGTTGATGAGATGTGGGTTGTTATTTTTAGGAATAAGGATGATCCGGGTGTTGTTAAGATAATGTGGCATGTTATTAGTTAGAAAGAAATGCTGGATAGTATCTGTAACAGATACCTTTAGAATATCCCAGTATGTTTTGAAGAAAAGGCCATTTAGTCATCGGGACCAGGCGCTTTGTCCGATCCAATTCTATTTAAGGCGAGCCAAATTTCACTATCGGACACATTATTTATCAAAGAATTGCGGGCGGTAGTGGGAATTCTTGGACAGTCAAGGTCACAAAAGGTATGTGTGCGAGGATTATTTGAAGTGTAGAGATTGGAAAAGAAAGTAACAAAGTAGGTTTGAATTTCTTTTAGGTCATAAATCCAATTTCCAGATTCAGTTTTTAGACTTTGGACCATATTTCGTTGTTTCCTATCTGTTGCAAAAGCATGAAATTTTTTTGTATTATTATCACCATCATGTAGCCACGCAACCCTTGATCGTTGACGCCAATATAATTCTTTTTGGGCGAACAGCTTTTTGTGTTCAGTTTTAAGAATATTAAGTTTATTGTGAATCGAGTCAGAATAACAGTTATCAAACTCAGAAGTAGCTTGTTCTATAAGTTCTGTAGTGGTATCTATTTTCCTATCTATGTTGCCATAGATATGTTTTTTCCACCATAGAGCTTTAGATTTAAAAGATTGATAGTGTTTAAGGAAATCATGAGGGTAGACACCATATTGATAATTAGACCAAGCATTTTGAACAATGTTTTTAAAAGACTCATGAGTAGACCATGCAATCTCATATCTAAAGGGTTTTTTGAATTTCGAATGATTGCTATGCGTATCTAAAAGAATTGGAGAGTGGTTAGATGAACTAGATGTAAGATGATAAACTTTAGTGAAGGGAAACAGATTATGACAGGAATGATTAGCGAAGGCCCGGTCTAGCCTTTCGCAAATGAAAGATGTTCCAAATCTTCGGTTATTCCATGTGTATGGATGTCTAGAAAAACCCAAATCAAACAGTTCACATTGCGCCATGCAATTGCGAAATTGGGATATTTTTGAAATTAACGGTTTATTTCCTCCCTTTTTTTCGTTTGCATGCAAAATGTTATTAAAGTCTCCAATTACTACCCAATTAAGATTAATAGAATTAGCAGTCTGTATGAGTTCGTGCCAAACCTGAGGTTGCAAGTGAGTCTGCGGGTAATTATACATAGCCGTCAGCAGGAAAGGAGGAGTTCCCGGGTTGAGAGTAGCAACTGCATGTATCATACGATTCGATACTCGTGTTTGTGTAAGGGTAATTTGGGCAGCATTCCAAAGCATCCAGATACCGCCTGCATAGCCAACAGCAGAAACTATAGTATTATCAGTGAAATTAAAACGTTGTATAATCGTAGCAGAACGTTCGGGGGTCATCCTAGTGTCCATCACAAGGAACACGTGTGGATTATGACGAGCGATTAAGTCACGGGCAGCTAGATAAAAATCAGGGCGATGAGCCCCCTACAGTTCCACGCAAGAATCTTCATTTGATTTTGATGTGGTTGGAAGGTGGAGGGCCCAATGCCATTCTGGGTGTGTAGGTGCTGATTCA